TAATAAAACGGAGAAAGATGCGAACATTGAGAAGGGCGGCCCTAATGTTCAAATAATGGTTCTCCCCCCCCCCCCCTTCGAATTTGCTACGACGAGCTTCCAAAGAGATTTTCTGACACCTGAAACTTGTGGTACTCGTTTCTTGATACTTGTGAACATTTCCACAGAAAGTGCTAAAGAAAAGTATAATTGCTAAAGAATTACAGTATTAAAATAAGACAAAATGGCAAATAACATAATAACCGACTTTAACAATTAACTTTTTTCTTGAATATACGGATTTTTTTCAGACTTTGGTACTCCAGTTATGATACAACAAGGATTCTTCATTTCTCATTCTAATTTAACTTGCATTTTCCTCAGTAGAAACATGACTTTCACAGATAGCTTTGTGCGTTAGAATAACTTTAATATATATTGTACAGTGGAGTCTAGAAGATTATGATTTCCAAGTAAATGTTAGTTAAACCTCGCCCGATTATGACACATGTATTTTAATGAACAATATATCTCCAAGTCGTCGTTTTACATTGGTAGCCCCTGTTCAGCTAACAGACCCCGGCAAGCTCAGTAGTCGAGTGTTACAATGTCTGCACTATAGATCATGATCATGAGCAGGAGCATGTCTTGGTTTTGAGTCCCATCTGAGTAAAATAATGATTTTTTTTCTTGCAAGCCCTCGGGCAGCACTGAGTATAGGCCTACAGCATTTATAACAATCATGTCGGAGAACAAAACCCAAATGTATACTCCCGTCTGCTTTCAACTAAATTCAACACATTCTTCAGGCGGTGGGTTTTATGAATTTTTTGGGGGTGAAAATATGTCCTGATCCATTAAAAGTGATTACTGAACCGAGTAATGATGAGTTACTTTCAGATAACATTTTGACTAAAGAAAAGTTTCCTCCTGTTTAACCATTATATCTGCCTGTTACCAAATTAGGCTAGTGTCTCTCAGCCATATCCAGTATGGATCATCCTCGGTTACTAAGAAATAAATAAATAAATAGGTTAGAATGCCGCATTACCTGTGGCTCTAGTTCTTGCCGCCTTTATATGATTTGGCGTAGATTGGGTCACCAGTGGTAACTCCTTCAGCAACTGAAGTGCCAATCACCGATGCCTCGCCGGCTCTGCTGTTATTGCCCATCGCTGGCGCCGTGTAATGGCGAATCACACCCCGTCCAGTCTTGTCGGGTGCGGCGTACAAGACCGCTGGGCCTGCCTCATCCACGGGCGTCTCTCTCGCATCCTGCTGGTTGAGTTGAGCCTCCGAGTCTTGTGCGAGACCTTCATAGATGGGGTTGATTTGAAACACGGACGTGGAAACCGTCACTTCCTCATAGCCGGGATGTCCCTGACCCTGGCTCTCCTGCGCATCGCGTGATCTCGCGACTTTTCGAGTTTTCTTGACCAGGAATCTCGTACAAGAAACGATGGCAACCAGAAGGAGGGCAAGAGCGAGGGAGCAACCGAGGATGATCCATACTGGATATGGCTGAGAGACAATACCGTTGTCTTCATCATCGTCGGGCTTGGGGTCTTGTGACGTTGGGATAGTAGGTGGATGCTGATTGGAGTTTGGAGTGTGTGTGGGTTCTGTACTGGTAAGAGATGTGTTGACTGTTTCATGTACTGAGTCTTCGTTGTTGGTGGGGTTTTGCAGTGTCGTCACTGTTGCTGCGGGTAGTGGGCTGGGTGTTGTGTTGATAGAGTCGGTTTGGGTGGATGGGATGAACTGATCTGGAGTCACAGCCATAAGAGGCGATGCATGTTCGTTTTCCCGCAAGAACATGGTGGTGATGAATTCGGCTTGTGATGCGGAAGTGGATGGTGAACCGTCTGTTGATTGCTCCTCAAAAGTGTCTGTGGTGGGAGATTCGTCTTGCACCTGCGATGTAAAAGACGATGAATGTTCGTGTTGCCGCATGAACAGGGTGGTGATGAATTCGTCTTGTGATGCGGAAGTGGGTGGTGAACCGTCTGTTGATTGCTCCTCAGAAGTGTCTGTGGTGGGAGATTCGTCTTGCGCCTGCGATGTAAAAGACGATGAATCGTCAACATTGTTTCCGTATACCACAGATGTTTTAAAGTCAGGTGTAACAGTAGAGGGACCAGTTGACGGCAAATACGACGATTGAGTTGATTTTACTACCAGTAAGGCATGGTTAGAAGCGTGTTGAGTGTAATCATCGACATAGAGGAGACACCAGTATTCCCCACTGTCTTCTATCCGCACGTTGTTGATATGAAGCTGATACTTTCCAGTACGCATATCAAGCTCAACAGTCACCCGCTCCTCAGAATTGGGTTCTACCCTGTAACATTTAGCAACAAAATTCGTTGTTGCAATGTATCTATGCCACTGTATGCCATCACCAGGGCAATTAACTACAGACCTGGTGCCGCAAGTGAATGTTACAGTACTTCCCTCGATCACCTCAGTGCTGCTCGGTTGGAGGAAAAAGTGACCACCGTTTGCCACACACACAAAAATAGACAGGAGCATGCTAACAAGTGGCAACATGGTTAATCTTCACTGAAGTTAAAAAAAAAGACATAAAGTCATTAGACAAACTCACAATAAACCTTCTCCTTTGACAATCAGGTCTTGTGTGAAGCGGTTCTGCAGATATTGGTTGGAGTGGCTCCGTTGTATCGGAAAACCATGTTGTGTCGAAGAATGACCAGTTTCGGCTGTTTGCATAGATGTGGCACAAATTGGAAAACAGACCCCCATATGTGATGATTTTATATGATTCACTGTCTCCGTTGTGTTCGTCTTACCATATAAACAAGGCGACAGTTCCTGATCAACTTCCTTGATAAGCGTATGGTGGGCAACATTAACTTCTGTTTCGATTCTATTTTTGAGCATGAAACGATTTTATCTCAGTATTGAAATAGTTTCCGCGTTCTGAATTGACTCGGGTGTTGGCTATATGAATGTGTAGTATTGGATGTCTGGATAGAGGGAAAGTAATTGAATTTCATGTTCATGTGTCAGGAAATCGCTGTGCTTCCCAACCTGTTACCTGCAAGTTCTCAACAGTTTTCAATATAAAATGAATTATTGAAATCATTATTTCAAATGAAATAACAAGTGCAAAACTGTATTGATTTACAAGCTGACGAGTGGATATTATATTTGTTTTAAGTGATTGAATATTCTTTCAAAATCAATCGATTTGATAACCACATGCGATCAGACCATAATAACTGGTGCTGCAGCCACAGATATAATCTTCTACATTGAGATAATTGTCCTTACTTTGATATCGTTATAAAACAACCGTTTTAAAAATTTAATGTCATGTATGTGGGAGCCAATCTTTCGTTTAACTCTTACACTGTCTTTAACGTCATGTGCCATGGAATGGTGGCACATTTACTTGTGCATAATGTCTTCCTCCTAGATCTAATCTACAGTCACGGCGTCACGCACCGAATGATCCTTCGCTCGTACCCACCGCCCTGCAAACAGGGCGCTGGGAAGGGCTAATAAATTTACGCTCTGATTGGATAGATTTTGCCTGACCTGTAACCTGCAAGTCATCACGGCCACGACCCTGCAAGGTTTGAAGCGGCCGTTATGACAGAGTCGTTACTCTTTTATTCCCATTCATAAATGTTTTTTTTTTCGAGAAGAATAATGGTTGTTTTAGAATACTTCATACAGTTCAAATAGATTTTCTTGTCTATAAATGCTAAAGAAAACGCCTTTTGCCATAAAAATTCAAACTCAGAGAACCAGGCAGACCGATTTCAAAACATTTCATGGTCGTGATTTGCAATCAAAAGCTAATTAGCCTGTTTGGTACGCGTTGCCAGGAAGTATAGAAGAAGGGGAAAGTCGAAGCAATACTATTTACCGGCCGAGCCTCGTGTATTGCGCGTATTGTGAGCAGGAATTGCAATCACGTGGAGTCTTTCGGGAAAAACACCACAATTATTGCTGGGGCAGAGCAACCGATAATTACAAATTTACCAGAAATCTCATCTTCGCCAGTACAGACTGGCTTCAAAACAACCCCTGCTCCAACCTCGTCCCCACGGGTTACAATATTGTCAGCCCCGTTTCCAATAGTAATCACTGAGTAAGAAATTTGCTTCCTGCATCTTGATTCGTTATAGCAATAGCAAGTAGTGAATTTATATAATATAAATGGAAAAAAATATGTATATTTTAACGTTCACTGAATTATTACGTCCACTCCACCTACCAAAAACCTCCCTTCTCCATTTTGCTTATAATAATATGTAGTGTGACACTGCATATTGGATGGATAAGATTGTAACATTTAAATTTGACTGAATAGAAAATAGTGTTTTCGGATCTCACGTCGCAACGAATACCCAGACTCCGCATACACCGATTTAAAACGCAGCCGGGCATCAGACTATTCCTTTTCCGCACCTAACCCAATTCGCACACGTGTGCCAGATTTGCAAAATGATAAAATAACACTGGATGTGAAAGCAGGTAGTGGTGGGAATGCACTGCTCGACACCATGGGAACGAGGTAGCTCCTGCTCGTGATTTGAGATACAAAAACCCTGTATTTACCCCGTTTGGTGACTACGCGTTCCAGTTCCATCATAGAGGAAGGCCGGTCGGTGCAATTATATTCTCCAGACCCTCACTTATCAGGCGTACGGTCCAGAAATTGCAATCACGTGCATGGATTTTACGCTTCCTTTACAAAAAAAAACTGTTGTTGTCTAGGGCTGAGCAATCGATAGTAATTTACCAGATACCCGTCGTCGTCGATGATACAGACGAGCCTGTCTTATTGTGCGCGTATTCTGTCTTATTGTGTGCGACAAAAACAAAATGAGTTTCCATTCTTGCCTACTGTCACTTTAGTTGAGCTCCAGCAATCGCGAGCAGGCGATCGTTCCACTCGATTTGATCAGTATCACCACTACGGTTGACGTTTGGCTGAGACTGTCACAGTTTTTGCACAAGACAGAAACGAAATCATCGTACGAGCAAAAATGGCCGCGTATGCTCAACAGCTGCAAGTCCCTTGCTCTTTTCAATTTGTGATTCTTGCCTTTGCTGCTGTAGCGGTCACTACTGCAATTGGGACATTGTCATGTAGTCATCAGGTGAAAAGGGAATTCTTACCAGCGGTTAGCAGACGCCTGCAGGTAGCTTCATACCAACAAACTCTCGCAAAATCTCACGTGTTGTGTGTGAGAGATTGCCATGCTGATTCTGGCTGCTTGTCGGTCAACTATCTCCCAATCCGTCACATCTGTCACCTCAATAACAGCTCTAGAGAGGAGCATCCAGGAAGCTTCGGGGTCTCGTGCGACAGCGTGTACTTTGATGCAGATGCACTCACACCTTCCTTCTCTGTGTGGCGGCGTTACAGTAGTTGCAAGGAGTTCCTGCAAGCGGGCCACAATGCGAGTGGTATCTACACCATATTCCCGGCTGATTTCGGCAGTGATGGCTTACAGGTCTACTGTGACATGGAGATCGACGGCGGAGGATGGATCATCATCCAGAGGCGTCAAGATGGCAGCGTTGACTTCTACCGCAACTGGACTGACTACCAGGTAGGCTTTGGCGACTGGTCTGGTGAATTCTGGATCGGAAACGACATCTTACGCGATTTGACCGGACAGGGAACATGGCAGCTTCGGGTCGATCTGGTGGACTGGGACAATGAAATGGTGTACGCCGAATATGGAGATTTTCAAGTATCTGGGGCCAACTATCAGCTCACTGTCGGCTCTTACAGTGACAGCAGCACGGCAAGAGACTCACTGACAAGCAAGCACAATGGCAAGTTGTTCTCAACCAAAGATAAGGACAATGACAATCACCCAACCGGTAGCTGTGCCGAAGAGGGTCAAGGGGCGTGGTGGTATGATTGGTGCTACCAGTCAAATCCTAATGGTAAGTTTTATAAATGGCAAGTACAATTTGTCAAGAGTATCAGATGGATGACCTGGAAGAAACCAGTATCGGTAAAAAAAAACGAGCATGAAAATTCGTCCATATCCGTAAAGGAAAAACAAAATTGAATTCAAACCATTCATCATTTATTATAGTTTTGTGCATTAGTCACGACAAAATTATTTCAAAGAATATAATTAATTCTTTAACTTAATTTTGATGCTCGAAAGTGCATGGCGAAGGTTGTTCGTTGGCATTGTTCGTACATAATCACGTTGCAGCCATGCGTAATGCATGAACCAATCAAGGGCGGATCCAGGGGGGCAATGGGAAGCATGGCGCGCCCCCCCCCCCCCCAAACCCCCCCCCCCCCGAACCCAATTGTTTTTAAAGCGACGTCGCAATAAAGGCAGGCACTGCGTACGCCACCATCTCTTCCTCAACAGATTGTTAAAGTGGTCAAAAATAGCCTCAGATCGCATCACAGAGCATCTAGAATCCCCGAACCCCTCCCCGTGACTTTTGTGGACCCACTTTTTGGAGAACCAAAGTTTTTTTACACCCCCACCCCCCACCCCAGAAAAACCCCCAAAACAAAAGAGTGTTCTGGATCCGACCTTGGAGTTGCTTTATTGGAGATCTTGGTGCAAATTATGGTTCATCATAGTGTTGTTTGATGAGTTATTCAATCTAACCATCAAACCATTCCAAAGATTTCTTGTCCATGAGTTAAATATTAGCTATCCCATGTCAAATATTTTCTGAGCATAGTTTAATTAATTGGCATGAAGGTAGCCTATTTCATGGGCGTCGCGAAGGGGAGAGGCCCCCCCCCCCCGAAAAGCAAAAAATGGAAAGGGGGGGGGGAGAAAGAAAGAAAGAAAAAGAGGCGCGAAGCCATATTGCTGTTAATTTAATCGGGTGAAGTGTCCCTGCCCATCCTCGAAAAATGATAAATCGAGAATATGCTGGAAAAGTACAGGGAAAAATGTGCTTTGTCCCCCTCTAGAAAAAAACGGTGACGCCCATGCGCCCAAGCTATGCATTGAGTGCATGTTGGCATAGGGTTGTTGCGTCGATGAATAAACAAAATTTATAAACGATTTATTAAGTCATATAAAACATAATATCCCATGATTTTTTCAAGAGGAGGTACATGATTTTTCCGGTCAAAACGAAATGCTGGTGGAGGTGACACCCCCATACGTCCTAGCGGCTCCCAAAGTTATTTCCATGATGTGTAATAGGCTTAAAATGTTTTTAATATTAAATGTCAAAAGTCATGTGTTGTGTATTGTTGGCAATATCCACCAGGGGCCTTATGCACGAGGCGGCCATATAGAATTGAAATTGAGGTAAAATCTTAAGTTTTAGAATTTGCGAAGAGAACTGAAAGCAAGTCAATGACTAGTTAATTCCAGTCTGCTTCAGTGAATAATATAAAATTTGTAATTAAACATTCCCTATTGTGCAAAGCCAGATAAAAAAAATGACAGTAAAATAAGGCTGAATTATATGCCTGCATAAATAGTCTGGCGCCATCACATTCAACAGTACACAATTTTATTAATGAAATACATTTAGGGAACTCGATAAAATCGGCCAACTCATGCATAAGGCCCATCGTAGTATTTCTCAAGTTCAATGATATCACAGACTGAAACACAATTTTTTTTTTTTAGAAGTAAACCTTACATGCGGTTATTTTTAAAGGCAAGTAGGTACATTTGCCATTACCCGAAAACGTGCCTGTACCGATTTAACGAGAAAAATCACTTGCTCAAATTAAAGATAGGACTGGTACCAAATACCCTGTGAAATTATTCCACCTGAAGTGGTATCGTTCGGAAGAAAACAATTATTTAACTGGCTAAAGAGAATATGCCTGCGGGCACAGTTTTTTATGTGCCTGCATTTGCAACGGAATTTAGTTACAATATCCCAATAATTGTGAATACGTTTTCTCTGTTTTCTCAAACTGTTTAGTATCCACTAACAAGTTAGTTGCAATGCACACATCTTAAAGGGGCACTGCGTCTTGAAATCCCCCAAAATTTCATTTTTTGGGGATCGATTACTTATCCTATTTCAAATATCTGGTTGAAAGGAAACCAACCTAATGTCTTACCTTTCCCGAGAAAGACGACCCCCCGACTGTTTACATCGGACACGACGGAGTAGGATGTGTGTTTCCTGTTGTATTCTGTCGGTTTTCATACAATGTACGATACACATTGTGTGTGTCTAGTCATGTTTACAGCTCACGAACGGCGGTGACCAATCACCAATGCACAATATATGATTTCTTGCACGTCCACAAAAGGCGTGTCCCTTTAAGATTTTTTTGTAGAGATTTTGTTGCTTCAAACATATCGGAAACAAACAAAATGTTCCTATGTAGGCCTACCTTTATTTTTATTTGAGTAATTGTTCATGCATAAATGTTTGAATTTGTATCGCAAAATGCTGAATATTAGTAAACAAATGTTAAGAAAAATTTTAAAAATAAATTTATGATTAAATGATATTATTAACTGTTAAATAAGTGATTGACTGGAGTTGGGTTTGAACCTGCAACCTCCAACTGAGCTATCCTTGCCGCCCTATGTTGGCGGTTCCTCATTATGTCATATGACTATGTTCAATAAGGGGGACAAAACAAATTAACCGGATCGGAGTTGGATTTGAACCTCAACCAGTTAATCGTCCGGTCTCATGTTCTAAACCCGCTACAGTCAATGTCTTTGGTCAGCTTTATAATTACCGTATTATGATTTCTTTACGGACGTAGTCACTGTGCCTTAATATTTTTTGTTTTAATTTTGATTATAAAAATACATAATTGTTTCAGTTTGTTGAGTGTGTATGACCGCAAAACTGGTTGATTTGACCGGTGTAAAATGCGTCAGCTGTAAGTTTTAATTTCATAATATTTATTATTGTTAAAACACTTTATACATTTTGTGTGAAATAATTAAGCTCCCTTTTGTCGAAATCGGTGATAGATTAATGCCACAGTTGAAATTGTAACGCGCACTGAAAGTTAAGAAAATATTGCTGAATATCTTTTATCAACAGAGTTTAGAGAACAAAATCAACAAAGACACTTAGAGTTGGCCATGGAGAGTCAATTTCTCAAGTTTACAGTCGACAAAACATGGCCCATTTCAATGAGTGTCAGTACTCAGTAGTCAACTTGAGCTAATTTGTTATAGATTGGGGCGTAGCGTTCTGCCGCCTTACTAAAACACCATATTAACAAAAAAAAAGGAAAGTGCAAAATGTTACTCGAATCATACGCTTACGAAACTACTGACCGGAAAAACGAACGATATCAAAATGTCCCGCGCTGCGAATTTGTCGACCATCTCGCACAATGCACTGGGAAAATGAACTCTCCGTGGCAAACTCTTGGTAGCAAACTGCATTGTGAATACATTACACCTGTCTATGGTTGTAATTTCCAGACGTAACCAAGTAATGCGGACACGGCCTAATTATCATATAATGCACATTATCTTTCCAAATATACCTTATAAGCATAATGACCTTTGTTTTTGTGTACATAACTAGCACGTTGTCGTACAAGTATTAGTACCTTGAATCTGTCTTAACTTATTCTTTAAAATGGGACTTCGGGGCGGCTGCTGAATTGAATTGAGCATGATGGGGAGTAAAAAATAACCGTCTGATATTTTCTACACCAACCCCCGGTGTAGGGGGTTTTGTATAGAAATGTCTAGATACCGTTACCAACCTTTAGGACAATGTGTTAGTAATATACGGACAAAAGGGGTCCACGATTGCCAGTTTTTACAAAGATGGGTGTGTTGGAAGGCCTATTTGTGTTTCATGGCACTCTGCGGAATTTTTGTAGGCCCCCGGAATTTTTCGTAGGCCCTATGCACAGTGCTTAGCGTGCCCATTGGATAATCCGGGCCTGGTTACCAGGCAACCAAACCAGGTGTTTTGAGAGACAGAATGAAACAGTTGTTTGCTTTGAAGGAATTCTATATACTGCCGTCTGTGGTGTTCTGGTGTTGGAAAATTAAGGCCCTGGATTTTTAAAAAAAGTACGTTGACTGACGGATTTTCTGGGTGGTTTTTGGCCGTTTCATATATGCCGAAACCAAACCTTTTACAACAAGACCTCTTGTCTGATCCTCGAGTTAAGACCTCTCAAATTTTGGACTTTTTGTCTCAAATCTCTGATTGGAATAAATGTCATGATGCAGCCTACATGCAGACATTTTAAAAAATAAATTACTCATGGAATTAAAATCAATTATGAAAAATGCAGCAACATGGTTGCAGTTTGGCATTTTAACAGAGATACGCTTATAAACTGAGTTATCCTTTACTTAATCCCATCATCACCATGCAGATTACAGCTATTGTAGTTGCAATAACTTTACAATACCGGTTTTTATACGTAGGACTGACAAAAACACTCGTACCATTACGTTAAGTGATCAGTTTACGTATTAAATTGGCCAAAAAACAATGCAAATTTTATAAATCACAATTTACCGAAAACCTAACCCTTTTTTATCAAAAAGAAATCAGACCCTATAAAAGAGCTACACTTCAAGTTCAAGTTGTCTAGTGCAGTCCCAATATCTTCGCAAATTACATTTACAAAGTTCCAAATTATACAATTCTTAAAATATCACATAAACATTGAGTAACATTCGCAATTATACAATGTACAGAAAATACAGACAGTACATGATATGTTACTGCAATCAGAGCTTTGTCTGAAGGCATCAGATGATATCATTTCATTGATTGGTATCGCTTGATAAAGCTTCACAGCAGGTTTCCAAACAGGATATTAACCCTAAGCATCCGATTGAATTATGCAATCCAGAGAGCGCAAAAGAATTTTTCTTCGGCAACACATTTTTGGTTTCTGTTAAGATTGTTGTTTTTATTTAGAGTGACATATGAGTTGAAGCCTCCTCCCCTTTAAAGTTCCTTATTTGTTTGAACCAATAGGCTTATTCCTTTAGCGTAGCCTAATACTTCTAGGGATGTAAAGAGTATTATTTATATAAATGTTATGAGTGATGTAGATGCGCGGATTTTACAATCCCAGTCAATGCAATTTACCTAGCCAATGTCTACC